GTCGGTTGCCTCTGAAGCTCGGGGCCTCCGTCTTCCCAGAACCCCTTCGCTTCCCGGCGAGAAAACGAATCGATCTCCTGGGACAACACGTCCAAATAATTGGATTGGCCTCCATCTTTCCAGACCTACTTCTCGTCCGTCTCACCGCGGGAGCCCATGGGTTTTCGAGGTTCATCCAACTTCAACCTTCGGCGAACAAGCAAATGTATAGCAAGGCCTTTCGGGTTCCATTGATTCACTTGTGCTTCGATTCGGGCATGGTTCTCGAAGTTCTTCATCGGCGCCCACTGGCTGCGTCCGAACCTCGGGGCCTCCAACATTTGTCGTCCAACTTTGTTCGCCGGCGTACCAACGAGTGCGAAGCAGGGCCAATCGATTGCAATTCGCGCAATTGTTCTTCTATCTCGTGGAACAGCTGTGTCAGACGATCGGATTCGTAGGGGCAGACTGCTCCTGGGCCCGAGCGGGCGCAGGTGCTGAGGGGATCCGAAGCGGCTCTGCGAACTCCCCTGGCAGCTCTTCCCCCTGGGCCCCGCGGGACGCAGGGGGGAGGGGGCGCCGAGCAACCTCTGCAAACTCCCCCCCTTCCGTCTGCCCGCCCCTCTCGCCGTCGCTGTTGTCCACCTTCGTGTCGGCACCCACCTGCGCACCCTGTGGCGGCGGTCCTGCGCTTTCTCTCTCTCTCTCTCTCTCTCTCTCTCTCTTTGTGCGCATTTCTGCCGAAGTTGCCCAACAAACAACCAACTGCTCACATATCGTAACCCTGGCAAGCTGGCATTTTCGGGCATGGGTGGTGTGGCGGATCCGTTCTCTGCGTGTTTGGCTCGTCGTTGTTTTAAGGTCACACTAAAATCGTTGATTGTAAATTGGAAAGATGCGGCACAGGAAATGTCCATTACCGGACCACGATCCAGACACTCTAGCGAGGATCGCACAGGGGTGCGGTATCGGAAAGGCTGCAAGGATTGTTATGTTTTGTTGTTTCTCCTTCTCCTCCCCTGGCCCCTTCAAAACAACCTGTGTGGCTGCCAGTGTCCGTAAGTCGTTTGAGGGGTGAGTGCAAATATTCCCCCCGTCGGGGCTCATATATAATTTGCCTGAGCTCCAACGCCGACTAGAGGAGGAGGAGGAGGAGGAGGAGAAGGAGAAGAAGGAGGAGGAGGGGGAGGAGGAGGAGGAGGAGGAGGAGGAGGAGGAGGAGGAGGAGGAGGAGCTGGAGGAGGGGGAGGAGGAGGAGGAGGAGGAGGAGGAGGAGGAGGAGGAGGAGGAGGAGGCAGCAGCAGTAGCAGCACTGAGGCGCGGCCAGGGCCGCAGCCTCCTCGCCTCGGCTCTGCAGGGCACGCGTCGGCGCCCAGGCGAAGCGCCACGCGGAAGGCCAGCAAGGTGCCTCATACGGGGGCCAACGTGAGGGGGACACTGGCTTTCAGTCGGGCCTGTCCCCCTACAGGCCGATTTTGGGCGAAAAATTGAGAATACCCCAAAAAGGACCTAAACATGATCGAAAATGGTCTTTAAAACAGTCCCCATATTATTGTTTGACTATTCTTAACTATTCCCCCTGTAGAGGGACAAGCCCGACTTAACAGCGGCTCAGGGGTGGTGGGGAGACGTCGAGCTGGAATCCGCGAGACGTCGCCGATAGATCGGCGACAGGGGCCCCGATAGCGAGCCCCAGCGCTCCTGGGCGGGGACAGCTATCAGCCCCTTGTCGGCGTGTTGTGAATGGGCGATTGGGGATAGAGAGATGCATCCCCCCTGAGCCCTATCCCCCCCGTGACGTGGCCCCTGAGGGGGAAGGAGGAGGAGGAGGAGGAGGAGGAGGGAGGAGGAGGAGGAGGAGGAGGAGGAGGAGGAGGAGGAGGAGGAGGAGGAGGAGGAGGAGGAGGAGGAGGAGGGGGAGGAGGAGGAGCCAGCAGCAGAAGCAGCAGCGCGGGCGCGACGGAGGCCGCAGCCTCCGCGCACTGGCTCTGCGGGGGGCGCTGTCCCGGGCACGGGCGGGCCCCCTTCGGAAGGCCAGCGATCTTCCTTCGCCGCCTCCTCCTCCTCCTCCTCGTCTCCTCCAGGGAAAAGGCAGCTTCTCGGGTCGGGCGAAAGGGGGGGATAGCAAAGGGGGGGTTTGAGAATCAGCTCACGTAGCTGATTTTCCCGGCGCCTCCCGGCGCCGGAGGCGGCTATGTATCGAGAAATGGCCCCCTCGGTGAGGCCGAAACCAGCTGCATGCAGCAAATTTCGTACCCCCCCCTTTCCCAATCCCCCCCTTTCGCCCGACCCGAGACAAGGCAGCTTCACCTGCAGACCCCCAGCAGAATGTGAACAGCGTGCCCCCTGTTCTGCCACAGACCGCGCAGCGGGTTGCGCGCCAGACACCCCTGCAGAACCACGAGCTGGCCTCCTCCGCCCTCCTTCGCCATGGCTCGCGCAAGACAACCTAGGGCACATAATCACGAAATGGTCCCTTTGCCCCCTGTCAACGCTCACTGTCTCGGGGAGCGCAACAAGCACATCGATTCATGTAAAGCCATGGCTCACCCTACTCTCCCGGGGACATGCAACATCTCGGAGACATCAAATGATCCAACGCATATCCACTCTAAGCGCGGGATAACAATACTGTCGCTGTATCCCAGACACCTGGTCGCCTCCACATGCCCGATCTGGAAAGCCTTCCGCCTGCTTCCGCTGGTGGAGCCGCCCCTGTTTTACTTCCGCCGGCTTCGCCCGCGCGTCCACCGCCTTCCGCCGAGAAAGAGCCGAAAGCATCCGAGACCCTCGAATGCAGAGCCCCTTCTGGAGCGCCCCAGCATGCCACCTCGGGCGCGCGACACGGCCCCTCCAGTCCTGGCCAGGGGCCAGCGGCCAGCGCGACACGACGTGTCCCCCGAGGATCAGGGCCAGGGGTCAGCGGCGGCGACAGCTCTCTTGGCGGCGAGCGAGAAGGTGGGCGGGCAGGGCGACCATGAGGGTACTGGCTCCAGGAGGGGGACAGACAGACAGACTGACAGACAGAGAAGCCAGGCGCCTGGACGGCGCATCGGCCACAGAGCAGTGACTAAGAATTGACCGGCCCCCGCGCACACCGAACGTGCGTCGTGCGAGCGAGCGGCGGGCGACAAATCGACGTCGTGAGTTCAAAACGCAAATTCGTCAGGACAATGCCTCGGTGCGTCGACGAAAAGAGGGGGGGGGAGAAGGAGGGAGGAAGGGAGGAGGAGGGGGGGGACATCGACCAGAATCGGGGGTACATCGCAGATATATCGGCGATGCGCGCCCGACTGCGGCTGGGCGATGGGGGGTCGACGCGTCCCCCCCCCCCCGAGCAGATGTCCCCCCCCCTGACGTTGCGCCCGAGACCAGGAGAGGACGTCCAAGAAGGCCCCCCACCTCTGGTCGGCGGTGGACAAACCTCCCGTCAGTAAACCTCCCTTTCGTGAGAAGGGCCTGGGACCGAAACCGACGGACCTGGACCCGCAGAAATGACGGCCCGTGAAAAGGGCCCGGGACGTGAAACCAGATGGGGAACCACACAGACCACCGCCGTAGAGAGCCCATCGGGGTGGGGCCCGCCCCCGGGCGCCTGGCACGTGCGAGCATCACCCTGTACCGGACGACGCTTGGGCGTACCGCAGCTCCGGCGTACCCCCGATGGGTTGTCAGTGCGGCCTCTGATGGAACAAGCCTCTTGTCTTCTTCCACCGCAGCCCCACTTGCCAGACAGTCTGGCACCAATTCCGGAGCGAATCCAGCCGTCGCGACCGAGCCCTTCCAGGAGGCCCAGGACCGGGAGGCACGAAATTAACCCGGCGCGATCACACTTAGCAGTCTTCACATGCCAAAGAGTCAAGTGCAGTTCTGAGCAATGCAAAGCAATGCGCTGCGAAGCGTTGTTTTCTGTTGTTTGGCGTTGCTTCTGGCGCTGCTTAACATTGCTTGGCCTTCCTCGACATTGCGTGTCATTGTTAGGCAGTGCTTGGTAGTGCTTGGCTTTGAGCGGCCTTGCTTGGCATTGCTTGACGTTGCTCGAAAACGTCGCGTGCCATTGAACATGTCCCTTTGCAAGACTTGGCGTTGCTTGACATTGCTTGGCATGAGTCGCTCCACTTGGCTTTGCATGGACTTGGCATTGGCTTTGCATTGTGTGGAATGGTGTGGGATAGCTGCTTGGCATTGCTTGGCATTGCTTTGCATTGCTTCAATTTGTTTTGCGTTGCTTCGCATTGCTTGGCAGTGGTTGGAATTGCTTAGAATAGTTTGACTTTGCTTGGCCTTTTTTGACTTTGATTGGCTTTGCTTGGACTTGCTTGGCAACCCAGGCAAATCCTGGGCAACCCTCTGCCCTGTGCAACGCCGAAGCCGCCCAGCAGGCAATCCCGGGCAACCCCGGAGAACTCCAGGGGCGAAGGAATCCGCAACCGCCTGTTTCGTTCACACTGACAGAAAATCTCCGCCGGCAAAGCCTAACTGGGGAACGCATTATCACCATAACGGCTCCCACGTTTCAGGTCCCCCTTGCCAGGCCTTGCCTTGTCGGCGCGCCCGGGGCGGCCGCGCTTGTCAGAAGGCTGCGGGGCTTCTCCACGCCAAAACGTCTCAGAAACGCTAACGCCTTCTGAGAAAGGTCCGTGTCTTCGGGGAAGACTTGAAGCCGTGTCAGAAGGCCCGAGGCCTTCCGAGCGGTCTGAGAAAGCCCGTCCCCTCTGCAATCCCCCCTGGACTCACCGCCGATTCTCATCATCTCCGCATTCTCTTTCGAAGACAAGCTTTTGCGTCAGTCCCTCCGGGCAACAAGGCTGCAACGGATGAGAGTGGGCCTAACTTTGAGCCCAGCATCACAATACATCCGAAATGGAGCCTTCGCCCTTCGCCGTCCGCACAGCCAACAAACACATCGGAAGATAAGAGCAGAAGATGCGGACGGGGTTACGTGGATAACTCGACTACAGTAGGACCCGACCTAGAACTCGTGGCGAGGACGGGGCAGGCTACTTTACAAATTGCCACGTTCACGGGCTCTCCTCCTTGGTCTGACCGGAGGCGTGTGCGCCACTGCTGTTAAAGTTTCCCCGAAGGCGTTCCCTGAGGCACGCGACAACTAGCTTGGAGACGGCAAGCAACAAGCTTCCGAACCACGTTAAAATTGCAAAGCTCTCCACCAGCTCGTTCCTCCCAGCCGAGCGCTGTTCTGACCATGGCCCAGCGGCCACGAAGCAGCCAGTCGTGACGATGACAACGGCCAGAATCATCTCCGCAGCGATCGAATGAGAGGGGCTGGCGTTGGGTGTCTTGCTGAGATGAATCTCGACCCAGGACACGTATAGGCCGACAGCGGCGAGGACGATCAGCATCCACGCGCTCGCCAAGTCATGGACCCTCTGGTGGTCGAGCCATCCGAGAATGGAGTCGTCCTGCCGCACAGCGTTCAGAGCGTACACCCCGAAGCAAACAATGATGATCCAGAACATCAGCGTCAGGCCATGGCAGAGAACCTCGATCTGAGACATGCCTTCACAACGAGCGACGAACATATCCATGTCCATGCCTTCATTGTCTGGACGTCGGATCACGACCACATGAATACGCAATCCTATGGATACGCTCCGCGCGGGGCATCCGCGCAAGCTGGCCTGTGTCCACGGGGCCGCGGCCGAGGAGTCTGGACCGTGAGGTCGAGGACATGGGTATGCGCGCGGGCACGTTTTGAATCGGTGCTGTTCGCAGAGGCGACAGCGGGGAACGCCATCAGCCCGCCTCTGGGGCTCCAGAGATGGCAGAAATCGAATCCACGCCGTCCAGCGCCGACCGCGGCACTTGACTTCTTCGATGCTTTCGGTCGACCAGGCTCCCTGCCCGCGACTCCGCTCGGGTGCGGCCAGACGCGGCATCCCCCCCCCCTCGCCATCGCTCGGACGTCCATCCCCCGTGCGTTTATACATCTCGTGCGTTTTTGTGTTGGCTCGATGAGCCAGGATGCTCCTCGATGGCCCTCGCCGAGGAAAACATGCACACGCCCGAGCGATGCCAGGCCCTCCGCCTGCGACGGCCCCCTCGCCGCCACCCAAGACGTGGGCGGGTCATCCGGAGGAGGCAGCGCCTCGACGGGTGAGCAGAGGGAGGCCGGCTCTGCTGGGGGGCGGCGGGGCCGACCCTCACTCCTGGGCTTAAGTCGGGCACGTCCCCCTACGGAGGGATTTTGGGTGACGAAGAAAAAATACCCCAGAAATGCAAAATATGTTCAAAAATAATCAAAAAATAGTCGCCCGGCTATTTTGCTTACTAGCCCCGCCCTCCAGAACTCCGACGTCGCTGCTGGTCTCGCCGACTGGCTGGGCGACTTCCCGACGCCGTCGCTCGTGGCGAGGCACGCGGAGCTCCTAGAGCTGCGCGGCAGCGCGATCGACTGTGCGGCCCGCGCTGTGGGCAGCAGGATCGACGGAGCACACGCGCTCGCAGCGGCACGCCGCGCGGTGCGAGCAGTTGCAGAACAGCTGGTGAGAGCGTGGTGCGCTGCCAGGAGGAAACTCCGCGTTTTCCCAGACAGCCACCTCTTCAACATCCTCAACCCTCCTCGTTCCCCCCACCCACGCCTCCTCGTCCCCGTTCCCTCTGCAAGTGTCCCACCTCCGCATTGTGCTCCCCCCTTTTCGGTCCACCTTGCAAGCGTCGACCCCAAGGCATGAGTTGCGGTGCGCTCTGGCAAGAGTTGTGAGTCGGACCCAGAATTCGGCAACGTCCGCGCCCAGGGATGCCCAGGGAGACCCAGGAGGCAACAATGGTACTCTTGATCCTCGACCCTCCTCCCCCTTAGTCCCCGAAGATGTCCGGCCCCCCCCCAGAAACCTCTGGATACCACACCAAAAAATCAAACACGTCGGGAAACATCGACGCCCCCCCCCGATCCCTGGGAGGGGTTCGATGTATGCACCACGTCGTTCGGTCGGTCAAGGAGCACGGCGTAAAGGAGCCCAGCTGCCCAACCTGCGCTAATTTGGGGCGTCCACACTGAATTCACTCACCGAACTGCTTGGAGATCGTCCGTACTCTCGTCGCGATAAGCCAGGTTATCCGGTGGGTGGGAGGGAGGTGCGCTGTGGTCAGATCCGCGTATGCCAGCGAGCACCAATACTGCACACCCCCCCCCCTCGGACCTGCGCGACCGAAAATGTCAGGATGCCCCAGGGTGTGAGGAGGGGCGGGAGGGCACGATAGCCCTGGTTGTCGCTAGACCCTTGGCAAAAACAGCATTTTTGGGCCCCCCGCCGACCAACCGAACTGGTGTGCACGTCGAGCCCCCCCGTGGAGGGACCGACTGCGCGAAGACATTCTGCCCCGATCGGCGGCGACCGTCGAACAGCGACCGGGCTGCACCTGCGCCAGCGGCATCGTTCGTCCCGTCTCCGCCCAGCGGGCTGAACATCCCTGCCGGGACAACCCACACATGAGAGGAAGGACAAGGGAGAGGGAGGAGGACGAGGAACGGAATGATTAGGGACGGAGGGGGGAGGAGTGAGGCGCAGCGTGCGTTGACCAATGAAGCGCACCGTGTTCATCGTCGGCGCGTTGACAATTCAAGTGGGTGAACTGGAACGGCTTAAATCTGAAGCGGCTGAGCACCTGCCAATAATCCGCAGACCCAGTCTGCGTGGGTGAAACGTTTTTCCGTTTGGGTCGTCGTCGCTGTCGCCGCTCCTCCCCGTTCCCTGGGCCCTCCTCCTCAACTGACACAGCAAAAACGGAAACCAAACAACGTCGCAACTTCTTCACAGGGAAGCCCCTTCCCTTTTTGATCCCTTCCTTGCCAGGGAATTGACGGGGGTTCGCCACCCCCTCCCCTCGGGAGGGGTCCCCAGAAAGGGCATCGGGGAGGGCCACCGTCTCCCCCATGTGGACAAGGTGACCCCCCTTTGCCTCCCAAATCCCCCCCCGAACCCACGGAGGCACCCCCTGATTCGTATATGTTATTGCCGGGTGCTGCGTACTTTCCCACATGCCTCCACGAGGCCTCAGATTCGCTCCGCGGCGGCTCCAAGTGAACGCGGAGCTTCCCAAGAAGTCCCCCAAGGGGCCCCCTAACAGAGCCCAAGAGGATCCAAGGACAGCCCTAAGGACTCCAGAACGTCAGCGTCGTCATCGCCGCCGCCGCCACCGACGTCGCCCCCCTCCATGGTCGGCGGCACGCTGCAAGGCCTTCCCTATACACATTGCGCCCCAAAACAAGCAGTAAACATCAAACCCAGGCAGCTGCGCACAATGCGCAGTAAGGGCACGACCCGAATGGCCGACAGGGCAAGCGAGTGGGCGCACAATTCAGACAAGGTGACGGCCCAAATGGACAGAACGAAGCACATTGCAGAGCCGTGCCTCCGCTGGAAGGCGAGGGGCGCAGCCGAGCGCAAGTCCTGACAGGCAACGCATCTCATTCCGACTGCTAGCGGGGCCATGACGGGTGCTGGCGCACAGCCACAAATGAATAAGAGCAACGAGCGGCAGACGGCAGGGTGAGACTCAATGCTCGGCGGAGCCGCCGAGTGTGCACTATGACTCTGGATCGCATCTGGACACAGCAACGCAGTAATCACATCAATATATCGCGAGTGAAATCATGCAGCCGAACAACACTGCAGAGCGAAGCGACCTGATCATCTAGAAAACAGGGAGGGCGTGCAGGGCGCCTGCACTGAATAAGCTGGGTACGTAACTTGACATAATTATGCTGCTAGCGGGGCCATGACAAGCGCTGGCGCGCAGCCACGAACGAATGATAGCAAAGAACAGCAGACGGGAGGGCCAGGCCGAAGCCTCATCCTTCGCGACTCAATGCTCGGCGGAGTCGCCGAGGTGTGCACCGCGACTCTGGATCGCGTCTAGATACAGCAGCACAAGGGTCGCATCGAGATGTCGCGAGCGAAACCATGCAGCCAAACTGTCAACCGATTGGTCTTGTCGAAGGGCGGGCGGGCAACGGGACAAGCAATGCAAGCCATCGCGAGAGGGGGGCGACCGGGAACCATCTAGCTCATCTTCACGGGCAGGCCGCGGCGGAGCCGCGCAAGGCTCTGCAGTTTTGCCCGCGAGAATGGAAGACGCGGCCCTTTCTTGCACTCCAAGCGTACCCCGCCACGCGCCACGTCGCGAGGTCCCACCAGAGCGACCTGGCGAAGCAAATCTCATTTCTTCACGTAGCGGGCCACTGACTTTGACGTCGACCACCTGCCTCTCTTCTTGATCTCCGCGAGCACGAGCAGGTTCCGGCGGGCGGCCGTGGACGGCCCGCCGCGGCGGGCTGAGCGGGGGGCGACCCCGAGCCCGTCGAGGCGGCGCCAGATCACGGCCGCTTTCAGCTCTTTCTCGTAGCGGGCCGGCGTGAGCGAGGAGAAGACGGCGGTCGCCTCGGCGGTCTGGCGGCGCAGCTCCTGCAGCAACGCGCAGACGGCGCCGAGCCCGAGGCCGTCGTGGCGCGCGGCAATGGTGTCGTCGAACTCGCCCGACTTGGCGGGGCGAGCCAGGGCCTGCCCCACTGCGTCTGTTCAGCCATGATGATGCACGTCTCTTTGTGGCCCGCCGCGGACGGGGGCACGATGTCGGCCTTCATGAGCTTCAGGACCTCGCCGGGGCGCACGAACGCGTCGTGCTGCACCGAGAATGCCGGGCCGACCTCGACGGCCGATGCCTCGGGTTGGCCAGGGAGGTCGAAGGTGATGATGGCTGCTGCCTCGATCGGGCACGGGCCCTCGGAGGTCGGTGGCTCGCCCTTGAGGAAGCCCTTGGCCAGGCGTCGGCGGCAGCGCGGCAGGCTGCCCCCGGGCAGCGATTTGGCGAACAGAATCGCACGCTGCAGCACTTGAGCGGCGGAGACATCCGCGCCCTTCAGGCACAGCTCGTCGTCGATGTACTCGGCGGCGATCTGGTCGAGGCCCCCGGGGTCGTTCAGCACGGCAGCCGAGCGGTCGCTCTGCAGGTCGTGCAGCTCGAACTTCGCCGAGGCCTGGGCATTGAGCTTCCTGGTCTCGTCGGACACGGAGCGAACCTCGACCTGCGTGAGGCCCGAAATGGCCGCGCACGGGGCGACCGCCGCCCGGGCCTGCCGCCGCGCCATACGGGCCGCAGCCTTGGCCACGGGCAGCGCTGCTGCGGCTGGGCGCCGACTTGTCGGAGACGGTCCGCTGTCGGCCGCCGCGGTGGCCGCGCTGTCGACCTCGGGCGGCGCCGCTGCTGGCCCAGGCGCACGCTTCGCAGACGGGCGCATCAGGCTGGGCACCGCGGCGGGCCTGGCTGGCGCCACCTTCGGCGACGGCTCGGCCTCGGCAAGCGGAGCGTCGGGCTGTGGCTTCGAAACTGGGCTCGAGGCAGCTCGGCCCGAGCTTGGCCAAGCGGGCGGGTCAGCAGGGCAGCAGGCGCCCCAAGAGCCTCCCAGCCAAAGACCAGTCTGGCCGGGCCGAAGCGGTGGGAGCGGTTGCCGGGCTCTGTTGGCGGCCTCCACGGCTGTCCAGTGCCGGGCAGGAGCGCCATGGGCAAGGTGCGCGAGGGCGGGCGCCGCCAGACGGGATCGCTGCGCGATAGAGCCGCAGGGGGCCGGGGGACATCTCCCAGCTAGCTCTGCGAGCCACACGCTGCGGAGCCTGCCGACTACAGGGATCGTAACCATCCCTTGAAGGATCAGATAAGGCTTGGTACAACAGCATCTGGGATCCAGAAAATCTGCGGGGCGCGGTAGCGCGAAGGCGACTCTCGTGGGTTTCCGATGCCCAGACCGACACATATCAAAAGTAAAGAAGTTGGCTTCCAAGGACTTCACAGCCTCGACCATATGGGGCCCACGGCCATAGAGCCGCCGTGTCTGAGTTCTCGAGCGCGACGTAGATCGCGCGCCTCTTATGGGCCCTCTTGATAGCCTTGAGGGACCTGCTGGAGACCTTCGCGCACTCGCGGCCCGAGACAGCCGCCTGAGCCTGTGAGGAAAACATTAGACATAAACCGCGAAGCCTACGCACAGGGAGCACCGAATTGCACGTGCCACACTCGGCCCCGAGAGATCCGCTGGATAAGCGGGCTGATCACTTCGGGGCCCAAGGTCGAGGTCGACGGGGCAGGCCGCCTCGAGGCCCGCCTGGCGCAATCGCCCGCTGTGACAGCCGTGCCCAGCAAACGGATCAAGGAAGAAGTGGCGAGGCGGAGCGGCTGACGTCCGCCGCGCGGCGACCTCGCCCTCGCGCGGCGCTGCTCTCGGGGAGGCGCGACCCGGGATGTATGAGTCCCCAGGAGACAACGGTCGCGGCCCGCCACGCACCGATCCCGGCGGCAGGGCCAGCTCGCAACGCCAGCTTAGCCGTCGGGCGAGGCGGCGACAGTCGGCTTGCCACGGCTCTGCAACGCGCTGGCCACCGCCGCGCTGCGCTGCCAGTCCCGACACCGCTGAGCAGCGTTTGGCACGAAGATCTCGCTGGGCCGCAGCTGCCCACGATGGGCGCGACGGGAGTCCTGGTCAGACGCGCGCCGCGAGAACTCAATGCAGCGGCGGCGCCAGTCAAGACCAGCCCCCAGCTGTCGCGCTCAGGACTGCCGACAAAGAGCGTTGAGCCCGAAGTCCGAGGCGCGGCCGCGCTCGGCGGCCAGCGCGTCGGCCATGGCACGTTGTCCCCGATCGAGGCAACGACGATGGAGCCCTCGGCCGCCGAGGACACCGCGGCGCGCCTGAGGCGCATCAGCAACGCGCGGCCCTCGAGGATGTGGATCGGCAAGCTGAGGCTTGGACCGGCCCAGGCTCCCGCTGGGACCAGGTGCCACGCTCCAGGATGGGTGGCCAGGTTCGTGGCACTGGGGGTCCCGAGCTGGCAGTGGGCGACCCCCCTGCGCGCGCGCTCGTCGGTGGCCGGGGCGGCGGCGGGTGGGCGGAGGCCCTGGCCCACGGGGGCGGCCATCTCGTCCGCCCAGGCGGCAGCTGGCTCCGCACCTGGCAGCGCCGGCACGCTCGGCGGCTGATCAGCCACACCGCCTCCAGGGCGAATCACCTCCCGAAAGCGCCAACGCTCATTCCAGCGGCCGACGCTGACCCCCTCCATCGCACTCGCAGGCGACTCGCGCATGGCAAATCCACCGCGCCCACCGCCCGACGAGTGCGAACAGAAGATGCGGCGGTAGAAGCCCCGCTCGAGGTTGACGTCCACGAACAGCACGAGCGCGCGGCAAGTCCACAGCTCGTCCCACGCGACGGGCGGCAGCGGCGCCACCTGGTCGAGGCGTTCGAAGGCGAAGCGGCACACGCGCTGCAAGCAGCTGAAGCACGCTGGTTTCAGCCCGAAGTGGAGACCCAAACCGCCAAGGAGAACGCGCGTCCCGCCGCCGGAACATCGCCGCAGCCGTAGGACGCGGCGCGGTGCAAGCCA